TTATAGATTCTGATTTCCTCTATACGGCTTCAGATCTATTGGGACTTTTTAGATGGACTAATATCCAAAAACCTAGGTTGGTTGTCATATGGTCTCCCCCTAAGGCCAATAGCTTTAAATGGAATATAGATGGATCTTCGTTGGGAAAGCCTGGACCCTCAAGTATATATGGTGAAGCTGCTACGGTCAATCGGAAAATCATAGTCAAGTTTTTTTTTTTGTCTTATTGAAAGCTCTCCCTTTGCATGTACTATCCTTTTATTTAGCTAGGAGTCTCAAGAGTATGATAATAATTGCAGTTTAAAATGTTTTTTTACTTAAAAATACATTAAAATTATTTTTTAATTTTTTAAAAATTATTTTTAACATCAATATATCAAAATAATCTGAAAATATAAAAAAATTAATTTTAAGCAAAACAAATTAATTTTTTTTAAAAACACGATTTTAATTGTGTTCCCAAACACTTTCCTATCGAGTTTTTGAATATTATATCTTGCAACTAGATACAAATAGATTTTAAAAATTAACAAAATAATTATAATATATCTTCATATACATTAAAGAATAAAAGCTAATCATTATTATACCATGTTTCATTCTCTCTTTCACCTGACCTTTTCTCATCCCTCACACATTTTCTATCAAAACTTGATATTTTTTTAATAAAAACTTTCATACACAGGTTTTATCAACATATTTTTATAGTTAAAATAAATTCTAAGTGAAAATAAAAAATATTATTCATGCATGTAGTCAAATAAATTAAAAACTACATGTGTTATTAGATGAAAAAAAAACACAAATGATAATTAAAAACAAAACTGGAAAAATCAAGAGACAGGTGTATATCAAAATATTTAATTTCATAAGATGAGATAATTACTCGGTTGTGTTTGCTACATTTATTTATCAAAATATTTTTTTATTCAATCAAAAAATAATAGAAATAGACACAGACATTAAATTGATTGAATAAAATAAAAAGAAAAAAAATATTATGCATGACTATATATATTAGAAATATTATATGAAAGCAATTTTTTTATTTTCAAACATAAAGTTCATAGATATAGAAGAAAAAAATTATAGACGAATCAAAAAAACCTCCTAAAAAATTAAATGCATAATAAAAAAATAATCATAATTGAAAACAGGCTCTCTTAAAAAATATAATAGAGAAGGAATATTAAACTAGATAAAAATAAATAAAAAATTAAAAAGAAAAACATAAAAATAAGCTTTAATTTTTCAAAAAAAAGGAAGAAAAGGTTAGCCCGTTTAGCCAAAATTGATTAGGGCCCGCATGACTAGGCATTTATTTTTTTTTGTTGCACCTGGGGTGGATGTCTTCCGCCCTAATTTTTTTTTTTATAAAAAATCAAACGATGCATCACCTATAATTATTGAGGTTTTAGCTACTGTGGTGGCTAGAAAATCAGGACTTGAGGTTTTTTTTTTTTTTAATTCAGACACTAGTTTTTTAACTTATTTTTTACCCAAAACAGCTAGAAAAAAACATTAGGAACTGTGATGAACCTATCCATGACCTCAAAAACACATTCTAAACACCAAAATCAACCCGAAACAAAAAGTAAAATCAAGATCAGATCTGTTTTTTCATAAACTTTAAAGATAAAAAATGCCTAATGTCCTCATCAATTGAAACCATTTGACATAAATATCGACCGTTTGGGTGATCTAAATCAATATCAACGATATTTTTTCTTTCTAACACCGTAATCCGGTGATCTCTGTCTCTTATCTCTCAACTAGAGACTAAAAAATAACAATAATGAACTGATGTACCAAGACTGAATTGGAAAAATATTGAGGTACAAAAATTGCATAATTTGTGTAATTATTAAAGTTTAAGATCAACGTGTATCTTTTCTAAAACTTCTAGCATGCCATCTATTTTATATGCTTTTTTTCTTTTTTTTCATTATGGTCCCTCTTCTTTCAATTTCACCCTTGACTAAGAAATCAACAACAGTTGATCTTTAACTAGGATGAAATCACACAAAATACAAGTTCAAGGACCAAAACAAATTCTCAAAAAAAAAAAACATAATGCCATTTATAGTAAACTATGAAAAGATACACTCTGCTCTCTTCACAGTGAAATATGAACATCCTTTAGATTATACTAGATGCCATGCCCGCCCGATGTTGCGGGCTTGTGGCATGCTTGTATGTTGTCATGGGTAAGTGAAAAAAATCATAAAAAAAATCATATGGAGAAAAATTATTACCATCCACGATATTTTCAAGGAAAAAACTACAAAACTAAATTTTCAACTAGTTTAATATTAAAAAAATAAAATCAACAAAGATGATTTTGGAAAAAATAAAAAAAAAATGAAAGAAAAAAAACCAAACAGGAAAATACTATAGCAATCTATAGTATTTAATGAGGAATTCTAAAGTTATTATTCTCAACTAGTTCAATATTAAAAATAACAAAATCAATAAAGATAATTTTGAAAAAAATCATAACAAAAAAAAAGCATGTGGGGAAACACTGTAGCAATCCATAGTGTTTTAAAGAAAAAAACTATGAAGCTAAATTCTCAACCAACTCAATATGAAAAAAATAAAATCAACAAAAAAAATTATAGAAAAAAATAATAAAAAAATAAAAAAAATCATGTGGAGAAACACTGTAGCAATTTACAATGTTTTAAAACAAAAGGCTACAAAGCTAAATTTTCAACTAGTTCAATATTAAAAAAATAAAATCAACAAAGTAGCAATTTACAATGTTTTAAAAGAAAAGGCTACAAAGCTAAATTTTCAACTAGTTCAATATTAAAAAAATAAAATCAACAAAAATAATTATGAAAAAAACAATGTAAAAAAAGTGAAAAGAAGAAGACAATTTTAGAAAAAAAAAAAGCAAAAAAAACACGTGAGGAAAATTAAAGTTAAATTCTCAACTAGCTCAATATTAAAATAATTTAGAAAAAAACTGTAAGGAAAAAAATCATAAAAGAAGGAAAAAATCATATGAAAAAATATTATAGTAATCAACGATGTTTTAAAAAAAAACCACAAAACTAACTTTTCAACCAACTTAGTATGAAAAAAAAATTCGATAAAGACAATTTTGAAAAAAAATAGATAAAAAAGACAAAGCTAAATTCTCAATCAGCTTAATATGATAAAAATAAAATTAATAAAGATAATTCTGAAAAATAATCATTAAAAAAACCATATGAAAAAACATTGTAGCAATCTATAGTGTTTTAAAAAGAAAAACTAAAAAGCTAAATTGTCAACTAGCTCAATAATAAAAAAATAAAGTCGACAAAAAAAATTCAAAAAAACAAAAAAAAAGAGGAAGAAGAAGAAAATAATTAAAAAAATATAATTTTGAAAAAAAAAGAAAAAAAATAAATAAATGGAAAAAAAAAACATGTAAGGAAAGCTAAAACTAAATTCTCAACCAGTTCAATATTGAAAAAATAAATTCAAAAGGGATAATTTAAAAAAAAAACATGTAGAGAAATTCTGCAGCAAAATAAAAATTATGTGGAGGAAACATTGTAACAATCCGAAAAAAACCAATTTAAAAGAAATAAATTATAAAAAAAAACTATGTAGAGAAATATTATAGCAATCCATGATTTTTTTTTCTAGAAGTTCTCTTGCTTTTCTGAGTATAAGTTAATATTGCAAAAAGTTTGGTTTGGAAATCAATGTTAGTATTGAATAAGAAATTGATAAAATTAACTTGTTCTCTAGTGCACTATAATAATAAAAATTTATTTCTTAAAAATTATATAAAGTGATAAAATCTATATGTATGTAGATGTGTTGTGCCTGATATGGAGGAGAAACACTTAGGATTTAACTTGTTATTTAAGGAAAAGAGATTTAGAGTTTTTTTTTTGGTTATTTTAAGGCTTCATAAACTTTTCAGTTATTATTTAAAATAGAATAATAGTCTTATAAATAAATAGATATTTTTATCTATTTTTTTCATCAATTCTCGAGGAGGATGTGAAGAGTTGCTTTAAATTTCAGGATATAAAGTTTAATTTTAAAAAAAAATCAATTTCAAAGTAACAAAATGATAAAACTACATGACAATTAGACTATTTTTTTTTAAATAAACATATGAATTTATAAATTGGATTAAAATTTTATTTTTCTCTTTAGATTGAATAGTTTAGATATAAGTAAAACAACATTGTCAAATTAGGTGTAACTTGAAAAAAATAACATTAAGGAACGCATCTATAATGATCTAGATGTTTCTGACCTTATTAAACCTCGTCCAAATCATATTTTTGATAAGGTTTAAATTGTAAGTTAGTTAGATTAACAATTAATATAAAACAATATTATTTTAAAATTTCTCAAATTAATATAAAATAATATTATTTTAAAATTTATTATTTTAAAAAAATTAAAATAATATTAGTTTTTAAAAAAAATCAAACCAAGTTTTACATAATTTTTGATATAATTAATTAGATTACAAGTTAGCTCACACGGATCAACCAGGTTAACTCCACCCAGCGCAACATAAGACCTGACCCAAGCCCGGTCTTAGATGGATAGATTATTGGGTAAACCTAATATGTCAAACTAGGTTTAAAAATATTGGTTTTAAATGAGCTTAGATTGACAACAAGAGGGTGCTGCGCGTTTCTTGTTTCTTTTTTAAAACCCTGGCGACATATCTCAATCTTTCTGGCTAGAGCAACCCACGACTGAAAAATTCTACAATCTTCTAAATTCAAAATAAAATAATAAAAATTTTAAAGATATGGTAAGCCGGGGGCGAAGGCCTGATACAGAAGCATAATAGTAAGTATTTGATGATCCAGACTTTGGTACCAAAACTTTTGTCAAGCCCATTGAAAAAGATATCCAATCCTCAAAATGTTTGGACATTAGCAGTTCCCTCTCCCTTTCCTTTGCTTCACTCTATGATCTCCACATTGCTTCTAAAATTAATAAATTTGTTTTTAAAGTTTCAGTTTTCCAGAAATGTTCTCTCAACTGGAACACTAACTCACTCTCTCACTACGTTTCTGGAGCAGAGACAATGCATTGAGAATGCCATTCTTTCATTTGTAAGTTTCTGTCTTGGTATGCTTGAAGACATGTTTCTGGAGATGGGTTTGCTGTAAATTCTGTTCTTGTTTCTAAGCGAAAAGAAATGATTAGAAACTTCAGTTCATTGAAATTACTTAATTGCTATTCTCAGGTCTTTGTGCTCTAAAAGGTTCCTTCTAGTTCCATCTTGAACATAAAGAAACGGCCTTTAAGTCCTCCTCCTTTTCTTTTAATCTTGTGGGTTTTGTCTATTCTTTGAAATGATGAATGGGCTTCTTCGTTTTTGTTACGATGTAACCACAAATGATATATGCTTTTGCTAGCATTGATAGCGTGATGCTTTGCTGTAACTAGAGGAACTTGACTCTCTTATTGTTTTTAGTGGCATTGTCTGTCATGTTTGATTTGTAGTTTGAGAATGAAGCTGTCAATTTCAGATATAACCATAGGTTTTGGTTTCATGAGGTTCCATTAGCACGAGTCAAGTTTTTTAACATGAAAGAAAGAAGAGAGTGTGCAATAAATGGACCGGAACTTGGAATTCCCTGTAAATTTTCCCCCATTAGTTGATCTTGATTAAATTTGGCGATTTTAGTTAATTACTCTGACTTCTGTGGCACTTGAGAAACAATTTAACTACCAAGGAAAAGTGTTTGTAGAGCTGATCATGACACATGGTCATCCATTGGAACGCTATTTAGCTGCGCTGCTATTGAAATTTATGTATCTGCGGAACTTAAAATGCCACCCATAATACATATAAAATTAGGTTCACGTTTTGTGATTTCAGAGGCAACGGGCGATTATTTGGTTGTATTTGTCTTTCAAATCTCCCATTAAGTTTTGTGTATATCATTCATCAAGTTCTCATATACAGGGAGATGTCATTTTATTGGTAACTGTTTGCATTTGAAGGATTCAATTGAATGATTTATCCAGTTTGTTGTTTTCTCTTGCAAAATTCTTTGAAGGGCTTCATCAGATTGACGTTATGGTAAGTTCTAGACTACTTGTCTGCGTCCCTTGCAGTCATAGTAATTAGGGATGTCTGCAACTTGTATATTTTGAATGGATGGTTCTAATTAGGATGTGACAATAGTATCTGGATATGTAGTTATATAAGATGTGTGACTCTGGTTTCTTTCAACCATCTGTCAGGAGCTTGTCTGTTCCACATCTACCATGCACCCGTGTCTCAAACAATCTTTTGTGGCCAACTCTGGGTTATGTGTTGGAACACACACATTTTCAACCAAATGTACAGCAGTCAAACCATCATAACTCTATTGTGATGAACACATGTCCCGCATATGCATCTATTAGTACCTTCCCAAGAGTTTATGATTCTGCAGCCTTGCAAATCAGTGTTAGTGTCAGGGAGACAACAGGTTCCAGCAAGCATTTCCATTCAAAAATTAGCTTAGATTCAGCTGAGAAGCAGACTCTCATCGAGGAGGTTCAACTGGATGGGTACTGTGATACTGCAGAAAGTTTCAATGAACTTCCCAAAAAGGGAAAAGGAAAGAAAAAACATGGGAACAAAGGGAGAATTCCCTGGAACAAAGGCAGAAAACATACTGCAGGTAACTCTCATTTCAATTTTACATTGAATTAGTCCCACTGAGGATTTAGTGAAGTTGATTAATTCTGTGGTTTTAATTTCATTTATTGTTTAGAGACCCGTGCACTCATCAAGCAAAGAACAATTGAAGCCTTGACAAACCCCCAGGTGAAGTCATGTAAGGATTAGTTAGTTTTCTCACAGTTTGTCTTCTGTACATGGGAATTCTTGGCACAGTATGGGTTCCTACTGCATGGTTTAGATATAATAGTACACAGTTGTTTTCTTAAATTTAGGATCTTCATTGATGAGTATGGACACTCAGATATGTTGCAGCTCGTAGAATAGTAATAAAACTTACTATGACTACTTAAAACTCTTCTTCTTTTTTTTCTCTTGACAAAAGCTTTGAATTTGTTTTCTGCTTGATTTATTCTTTATTTCTAAGAGTCAGAGACAGTAACGAATAATCCTCCCTCTCTCTTCTCTTAGATAATTAATTATCTTACTTTGTATATTACTCGTCTTTTTCATCTAAAACTTCATCTCCTTCCATCACAACTTCCAGGTTAGGAAGAAAATGTCAGGACATCCTCGTGCTCATAGGTACAGTTGATGCCATCTGGTCACAATCTTTATAAATATGCTAAGCATTGTTGTGAAAGTTGTATGTGGAAAAAGGGAACTGCCAAATAGATGATGCTCTACATAACCAGATTTCTGTTGACATGCACCTGCAAACTTACATGGATAATGACTGCAAATTGAAGCTTATAATAACTTTGGATTTGGTCTATGCTAAATTAACTCAGTAGATGATTTTGTGAAAACTTGACTGTTTAAATGAAACTTCAAGGATTACTGGCTTTAATATTTGCTGGGAGTATTCTATAACCTCTGTAGGCTCTGCAACCACATAAGTTTTTCACACTGAAAATCACAATTCAAACCAATTCCTTGCAGCGAAGTGATCCGGACAAAGATAAGCTCTTCACTCAGACAAATTTGGGGTAAACGTTTGAAATGGAAAAGGATGAGAGAGAAATTCTTTCTTTCATGGTCTAAAAGCATAGCAAGAGCAGCTAAGGAAGGAGGCATTGACCAGCAAGAGCTAGACTGGGATGGCTATGATAAAATAAAAGAAGAAATAACTCTCAAGCAGCTTCAAGTTGCCATTGAAAAGGAAGAGGCAGAGGAGAGAGCAAAGAGAACAGTTGAGAGAGAAGCAAAGGAAAGGGAAGAAATGGTGAGGGTTGCTCAAAAAAGAGAGAAGCGGGAAGAGAAAGTGAAGGCAAGAGAAGAAGCAAAGAGAAAGGCACACAGAGAATCAAAGAAAAAAACAGAAGAGTCATCTGTTGCCCAAAAGCTGACACTTAAGCGGAGATTAACAAAGGTAACATACAGGCTACAGTGCAACTTGAAAAACCACACTACCAATTTGAGGATTAGTGTATGACATTTATATTTTGGGATGCACATTGATGCAAAGAATTGTATTAGGAATAATTGATCCTGATTGACTCAGTAGATTTGGAATCTTGTAGATTGACTTGGTAGATTAGAAATCATATGTTTAGAATTTAACTTGGAATTAATTCTTGGAATGGTGCAAAGTTAATTGGTAATTCCATAACTGTTAGAAAATTGATGCAAAACAGTATTAACTAGTAGAAGATACAAAAAAGATAAATACAAGGAGGGGAATCTTATGAAATGGTTTTTATGTTGGAGTCACACCATGGAAGACGTTTACACTGCAGACTATCTTGTACACTGTTTAGCTATTCATATACTTCAACCCTTTCTGTTAAAACCTAATATATAGAGGCTGGACATGCTCTCACGATCCAATTGCTATCTTTGCTCTTGGTATCTTTCGCATGAAACAAGCAATTCCATGATGAGACCATGCTTTGTGGGGTTCCTATACATCAAAATGTTGTTCACATTAATGTTTACTGTTTAAAATTCTTTTTTTCCTCTCTCGTTTTGTTTTATATGTTTGTCTTAACAAGGCTATATGTTTTCTCTATAGATTCGAAAAAGAAAATCCATTAATGATCAGATGATTCGCCAAGGGGCATCATTGACTTCCCATAGCTGAGCTTGGGAGAAAATCGATGTAGAGATTAAAAAGAGGGAAAAAATTCAAAGAGAAGCTTCACTTGCTGAACAGATCCGAGATGCCAAAAACAAAAGAACTGAATCCATTACTAGGGAAGCTTTGGCAGCACCATCTACGCAGCATTTATTTGCTGGGAGATGAATGCAGTAAGAGTTGCATTATGTGCAGTAACAGAGAAACTCAACTCGCGCTTCTCTAATTATGACTTCCATCTACTTGCTGTTTTTGCTTATGCTTGAGCAATTGTCAGCTGCGCAGCAGCTCTCTGTGAAGGGGTGAAATCTGGGCCTTTATAGTAAAGGATATGCACTAGAGTTGACTCTAGATCTCAGATTTCTAGCACTAATAGTTGTTTCTCGTCCATGTCCCTTGGCAAAAATTTGAGCTATATTTATCGTTTTTTTTTCCCCGTCACCTTTTCACAGAAATAGGAAGTTAGCAACCCCAATTTTTTATTCTGAATCTATGTTTTTGCTAATTTTGGCATTAAGTGGATTCCAAATCATCCTTTTACACAGCAACTCAGTTGAGAAACTTACGCTGTTGTGTTCACATTTCTGTCGGGAACAAAATTCAAACTATGTATGAAAATATTTAAAGATGCGATTTTGGCAGCACAGCAGGAGAATGTAGCCCCAGGCAGAACATGGGGAGAGGCAGGATCCCCGGATTGTAATTTTGATGAGTATGCTACTGTTTCAGCTAATTTTTGAGAATATTCTTGCTGTTTTCTCATAGAAATCTGAAATTGATTTTTAAGAATAAAAAATACATTAAAATAATATTTTTTTTATTTTTAAAAATTGTTTTTAATATCAAAATAAAAATAAATAAATTTTATTGAAACTCCAATACAAATAATCAAATTTTATTGAAATACTGGTACAAATACAGCCCCAACAGGGTCATATCGTTCAAATTAATAGTATAGCTTGCATAGCATGCACTTTATGAATCACAAATGATAATAATGCATGAGAAGAAATCAGGAGACATAACACAGCAGTACTGCACTACTCTTGGGCTCGCAAAACCACAATCTAATATCCCGAAAGCAATTTCTTGCACTTTCAAAAGCGTCCATCATCTGTTCCTCACACGTTCAAGGAGAAAGAAGATACGCTCAAGAGCAATCTGAAAGAGATTTGACTGCAGCAAACAAGGGAGCTATGAGTTCTACCGCTTCAGGACTGCCTTGTACTGTGAGGGGAGGCTTCCATTTTTTCACTGATGATATTGGAGCCTTTCCTTAAACTTGTAAGCTACCAATCCAGACGCTAAACCAGGTCTTAAACAGCATCATGACAGGCAAATATGGAACAAACTAAAGGCAGCAAAACACGGGGTCGACAACAATAATTCTATCCTTTTTAAATGCTATACCTCGTACCTGCTGACAGCTTTCAATATCCAAAAGACAGACTAGGCACTGAATCCTACCATTAAAATCGCAAGATAGAACATCAGATATTAAAGCATGCCTTAAACAGCATCGTGCCAGGTAAAGCGAAAAGTACCATCAACACCACAAGTCCTAGAAAATTGAAATATCTTGCATATCTACACAGCATCAAGAATATGGTCTATTCAGGGGATTATATAAGCTGCAGAAGTGTTTCAACCATGCATGCTTCAATCTCTGCTTGGAGGGTAGCTGTTCTGGTAGTTTGGTGGCCCACCTTGATAGCCTCCATCATTAGGTCCACTCTGGAAGTTGTGCTGCATGTTCCCAGGCATGTCACTGGACCATCCTCCCATGTTGTTCTGTGGAGGCATGTTGTTCTGTGGGGGAATGTAGTTGTTTTGAGGGGGAACATAGTTTTGCGGTGGCATGTTGTTCTGCGGTGGCATGTAGTTTTGTGGGGGCATGTTATGTGGCCCTCTATTCATATTGTTCTGTTGCCCACCTGCATAGTTATTAGGCCGTGGTCCGCCTGGTCCACCAATGTTCGGGGGTCCACCCATGTTATAGTTGTTAGGCGGTGGTCCACCTGGTCCCACCCTGTAGCTGTTCTGTGGCAACGGTGGCGGTCTGCCCATGTTTTGTTGTCCAGCCACATTGGGAGCAGGGTTTTGCATAGCCTGATTAGCCATAGGAGGAGGCGGAGCTCCATCACGCTGCTGCATGTTTTCCCTTCTTCTGTCAAAATTTCTTGATCTGTCGACGTTACGAGGTCGATCATTGCGCCTATTTCTTTCATTTGCCCTCGCATTGTTCCTTATCCATTCCTCGTGATATTTTGGGTCATAGGGCACAGCTCTCCCATCAATAAATGGCTCCCCTAAAAGGAAAAAAGCCATCATGCAACAATCATGACTTGGGGATCAAAGGAGGCATTCATTATCACAGTTTCAAATGAAAAGAAATGATCAATTCTGAATGTGCGACTCTGCAGAAATAGACCAAAATCCTAGCAGTATGAAAACATAATCAGGGCACGATCATCTTACCCTAACTCAGAAATGGAAAACATGCTGCTTTCTTTGTGCACTTGCATTTAAAATTAGGATTGTTAAACTGTTATTAACAATTACATGCAATCGTTTGACAACTGCATCAGAGACTATTTGGTGAGATACGATCTTGATGGAATTTTGCGTTGTTTATCTTCTATTTTAGAAAACTAAGAAAGGAAAACCTGGAATTTTGCATTGTTTATCTTCTACCTTTGAAAAATAAGGAAAACAAAGACTCGCAACTCAAATGTGACTACCACAAAGAAAAGCCAATCCAGCAAAATATTGCCTGCAGACCCTAGAGAAGTTACAGAAATTCTAGTTCAATCCTCATTTGGTCAAAGTCTAGAAGGGTTTAAATAGCATCCAACCTGACCAGAACAAGCTTCAACAATTGTAGATTGAGAAGCAGAATATTCAAAATGAGTTCTTGGTGCACAAAACATTTAAGCCAGAAGTTTCCTTAAGGATAAAAAAGATAATAAAAAAGAAGATGCATGTAGTACTGATAAATGCAATAAAACACACGTCTACAACAATATATTGGTATCACATACAAAAAAGGGAAAAAAAATCCCTTACCTCCATAATCTTTGTTCTTCACATCTAAGTACGAATCTGGAAGAACCCAGCGAACATTTTTCAATTCTGGAAAAGTGACCAACAGAGCACATCCATCACATTCAAACTTCAAGAAAGTAACATCCTATACCAATCACTTCTACGCAGTGGCCCATTTTTTTTCCATTAAAAGCAGTTATCAATAAACACTTGAATATGTTTTTTTGGGAAAATAACCTTTTTTGGAAAACATAGAAGTGAACAAAGTTGTCCATTTTTGGTTACCCTTTTTCAAAAATTTGAAAGGGACCAAATGTCATCTTGTTAAGGTGAAGGGAGGTAATTTACATCTAGGATTTAACACAGGTTAAGAACATATTTTAAGAATCCAAGTTAAGGGTTTTGTTGGGTTAAAATGGACCAAATGCAAGATATTATTAACGAGGAAGAGGAACAGTTTTAATACTTGGTAAGGCCAGGGCCACCCCCCGCCCCCCCTTGACCCACAGCTTGAAAGAATATATACCTTTGATCTTGTATGAAACCTCTTCGGACACCAGAGCTCCAAAGGCAAAGTAGCATCGAGTAGAAACTGAATAGATCTTTTTCCTCGCTTCCTCCTCACTGTCATAAAGCCACAAAATTTAAACGACCAAGACTTCACACATCAAAAAAGCCCATTTAATTCCAGACTCCTCCAGTAAGATAAAAAAAATAAAATAAAATTCTACAGCTCCCCTAAACTGAAAGAGAACAGATAGACATGCTAAATATTAAAAGCAGCAAGGAATATTCAAACGCTGAGAATAGCACTCTACTTACTGTAATCTAAAACACAAATCAAATATTAAGCTATAAAACACAATTCCAATCGAAGTCAGATAAAAGAACAATTAAGCAATCAAACTCCTGATTCTTATAGAAGTGTAATTAAAATGCACTTAAACCCCTCTAGCAATAGGTTAGGTACAATTCATAAACCTCAAACAAACTTACAAAACAGCAAACTGCAACCTTTCAAAGTATAACAAATCATAAAGAAACCTCAAAATACATCAATAACATGTATGGGAGCATGCATAAACCCTCAATAATAAGCAACCAAAAGCAGCACATTAATACATAAAATACAATAAAAATGACAAAAACAATTAACTCACACTAGCTTGGAACAAATTCTAAGATAAAAATGACATCAATTCTACATGAAGAGGTGATTTCTATTCAGTTCTAATTCAATCCCTCCATTTGAAACCAATTTAAATATTATTTGGATTTAGCCTAACATTTCTATTTGATCTAAATTAATTAATTACTAATAAATAACACTATAATTTTCTGGCAGTGAAAAGCTGAAAGCTATATTTTATAGGTTTCAAAACAACGTATTGCGGGGCATTTTGGATAATGGAAATATACAACGACTATTTGTATGGAATTCCAAGTAAATAACAGTCTTTTGGGTGCTATATGGAAATCACATTTTGTTTAATTCATTGACTTCATTTCAAGATGCAAATTTAGTTCCAAATTGAGAATTTCTAAAAAATAAAGAATTGAAATAATTTATCGCCAATTCTTGGGTTTCCATACAATCTGTTAAATTGAAATAGAATAAAAATTAATCAATATACAAAGCCCATAATTTCTAAAAAAAACTAATATCAATACTTCATCCACTAAAACTAACAATTAACACAAAAAAATAAATTAAGTGAAAAAACAATTAAAGTGAATGACATAAAATTTAGGTGTAAACTGTAATAAATTACCTGCCAACAACTTCAGCAAGGGTTTTAATATAAGAATCGATGATCTCGTCACGAGTGGGATCTCCTTCAGGCTTATCCATGACGACGAGCCAATGCTCAAAATCGCAGCCATCAAGCAAGATAGTCTCTTTTGGAGGTCTGTTGGACCAGTTAGGGCTTGGGTCGTTAAGAGAAGACGATGATGGGTTGACAGAAAACGACCTGGATGAAATCCGAGAGACAGAGCGACTGATGTTGGCTGCAGCGGAGAGAGGACGAAGAGCACGGCGAAGGAGAGTGGAGGAGGTGGAGGAAGTGGCGGAGAGGGAAGTGAAGGGTCGGGAGAGAATGGAGGAGATTATTGTTTTGGAGGTGATTTTTTGGAGGAGGAGGGAACGAGTGAGGAGAGAAGTCGCCATTTCTGGAACTGAAACCCTGATGGAGATAAAAGAGGGTAGGGTTTTAGATAGGGTTTTATAGAGGAAGATAAGGAAATGCCCTTCCATTTTATTGGAATGGCATTTAGGTGATGTCAAAATTAAAATATCTTATGCTTCCTTTTTTTGTTTCTTTTTTAAGGAAGAAGGTGTTAAATTTGAAAAATTATATAATGAGCGGGTGCATTTGTTTGTAAATAATTTATGTTTTCAATGTAATAAAAAAATCTGAAATTTAATTTAATAAAAAAACCTAAAAGATGCATTGTTTTTACTATGCAACCTCTCACAAAATATTATTTTTTATTATA